TCTCACGTGACAAGGGGGGAGGTGTGTTGAAAGCTGCGAGGACAGGGTTATTGGACGTGAATCAACACGATTCACTACAGACAATACTGGGCGAGTTGCATAACCTGGAATTTGATAAACAGCAAATTTGATGGCACGGTATTGTAAACGTTTCCAAGGAGTTGGCCAACTGGTCGACGGCACTGCGGGAGAATGTGAAGCAGTGAGTGAACGCCAGTTGGAGCAGAAGGAAGAACGCCGAGTGCTCGAAGGGACATGCCACGAGGGCGGAAATGGCTTGCACAAGGGGCAGCCTTCGAGAGAGACTGTACAGATGTTGGATTGTGGAGGACGGCGGCAACAAACCCGCGTCAATCTTACATCATGGGAGGAAAAAATGGAACACCATGACACTTTTTCGGGGGTACGAACAAACCATTGGATTATGTCCAACAGGGACACCCTTGGAGATGCGGTTAGATTTATCGTGCGCTCAATTTGCCAACACAAAACACTGACACTAAATGAAATCTCACCACGTGGGATACATTTATTTGGTTTATGACTTAATTTTGACAGATTTCTTCGTAGAACATAAATTTTTATTTAAAATGGACGTATTTTCGCGGCCTTTAGTGGTTTTGAAAGGATCGGCTGCAAGATTCCTGTTGGGGATCCACGATACCCCAAGATTCCTCATCGTTGGTTTTGGCACTATTTACACTAATTCCCTAACATGTGTTTTATTACGCCGTTTATCAGGTTACGGTCAACATTGACTTGAATTAGTTTCACTTTTAACAACTCACTCGCACGTGGCTGACGCGACTAAAGCTCTCTATTCGAGCTCTGGTCTTGTTCTCGCAATAGCGTGGTAAGGTTGATGCTAGGGATCTGGTGCCGTTATTTGAGCGGTTTCCTCTTTTGTTACGGGCAAACGCAACAAATTTTGGCTATGCAGGTGAAATGCGAAACCGGCGATTTTAAAAAAGTTGTAAAAATCCACCGGACATCAGAATGACAACAGCGAAAGACGCAATTTCGTCCGAGATAGCAGACAACACACTACCTGGCACCAAGGAAAGTGAGTTGACGTCACAATAAAAAAGTTGCAACATGGAGTGTTGCATTGAGGACATTCTCACGCAAGGACTTATTTCTTTAGGGCCTGCATAGCTCTCGCTTGCCATAAATTGTTAGAAAAAGACAACGAGACTCAGCTATGCATACTTAATCTTAGCCAATCGGATATGCCACGGACTAAGTAAATACTACAGAAAGACGTGAAGTGCGACTGCCTTGAAAAATAAGGAATTCTTGTTGGGTAAAATAGTCATACGTTTATTAAAAACAGTAAAAACACCTTGCATACACACACACACGCACACACATAAATCCTCCTATGTTTCACTGGTCCAAAGTCGGATAGTTTTGTCATTTTCCAATGAGCCGGAAGCGATGATATTCTGAGTCGGATGGCAGGCGGTGCAGAGGACCACATCTACAAGGTGGCGCCGTGAGAACCAATAAACGCTGACCTACCTGTGTGTCCCTCTAGGGTCTGCACCACCTCCTTCGTCTGTAGGTCCCAAATGTACACCTTGTGGTCCTCCGAACCGCATACGACCCACTGACCAAGACATCAACAAGTTAGGAGCCAAAAACCAAAACCCACCTTTCCCCCTGTCACGGAGAAATTGGCAAAGATGCAGTACTTCTCGTTAACGTGTCCCTTGTACATCTTGAGACACCGTCCCTTGCTGTAGTCCCACAATTTGAGAGTGCTGTCCAAATTCGCGGCCAGAATGTACTTCCCGTTGGGAGAAAACTTCACAAACGAAACCGGTGGATTGTCCTGGTCAATGAGGGTCTTTACACACTGACCCGAGGCGGTGTCCCATATACGGCTAGGCGAAAAGCACACAAACAAACCGAGCTTACCATAGGCCATCATAACTGCACGATGCGATAAGGGTGCCGTCTTTGTTGAAATGCACCGCAGTTACGGGATCTGAGTGAGCGGGTAGCGTGCGGATGCATCGGCCGGTTTTCACATCCCACAATTTAACACTCTCGTCGAACTATGAAACGCAAATGCGGCAATTAATAGCGCATTACCGAGCCGGAAACAATCAGGTTGGACTGAGGGTTAAAGTTGCAACAGAAAACGTAATTGCTGTGCCCTTTAAGGGTTTTAAGACACTGTCCAGTGGCGAAGTTCCAGATTTTTAGAGTTTTGTCATCAGAGGCGCTGCATAGGAAACGCGAGTCTAGCGACCATGCAATATCGGATATACCCTAAAGCAAACTTCAGTTGACGGTGTAAAAATTGACCTACCAGCTTATGACCACTTATAGTCTTCTCGAATTTACCATCATAGGCGTTCCATACTTTGACCAACTTATCTGCGGCTGAAGTGTGGATACATTAGCAAAACATGAGGTAAACTTACATGCACTTGCAAGCCACTGACCGCAGTCAGAGAACTTAAGGGAAGAGACCGCTTTGATATGCCCATTTAGGGTGTATTTTAATTTGTACGATGGCTACCGGAATTAAAACTCATTAATAAAAGCACGGCATACGAGTTTAGCTCCTGACTTTACGGAGACGGAGTCAGTTTCCCCTTCGCCTTGTGCCGGTCGAATATCCTGAATGAAACAGCAATCCATGAGATTTTAGCAGTAAAATTATTTGCTGAAATCTACTCAACGCATATACTACTCATGAAATTGATCTCAAATGAGATATTTAGAATAGCTCAACGTCTCTGAGTTCCACTGACTTGACCGATACGATCTCTACCGAAGCCTGAATATTTGGCTTAGCTACGTTCTCGTTAGTAGACTTAGACGCTCATTGACAAACGTGGAGACCACCACAGGATAACTGGGGGTGCAAGCGATATGAGTATATTACGAAGTAAAAAAAAATTCCCTTACGAATGAAATGACAAAACGAAATTGATTAACAAATGTAAGGGCCTAAGAGTAAGCGATGGTTGTTACAGATTAGGATAATTACTGGCGTTCACTCAAAATGAGCTCAATCACCACAATGGATAGTTCAGAGTTTTTAAATTGCTAAATATATTCGACTGGATAAGTACCTTTCAAATTATCAATACAAATAGAGTAAATTCAGTGGGGGAAAATAACGTGTTTAAAAATTAAGTTCAAACAGAGGTAACCAAACAAATGTTTTGGAGAGAAAGCGGAAACTCAGTATCATAGATAAATGAAAAGATGTGAAAGCTACCACCAAGTGGATTCTTAGCAAAAATACGCACCAGAAAGTATAGCTGTTATTTAAAATTGATCAACATAAAATGGAGTAATACTTGTACAGCTGAAATCAAGTTCAAAGAGCGAGAATGAGATAGCATCGCAAAAATTACTATTGAATATATTCGAAAGATCGCACTCATAAGTAACCAGAGATCGGAGTATTTCAGCGAAAGTATATGATGCATGATGGGATGCTTACGATAGTGTCGAGCAAACGGCAGTAACGGGATTAGAAAAAAATTTCGAGGTTTCGCAAAATCGGTTAAATCCGTGGTATATTTGCATGTTTTTATTAACTAAGATGTGCTAAGTAAAATCAAACGAAGATCGGTACCAGAAACAAATATATGTGCTGAAGCAGATCCAATACAGGGAAATTTCATTTGTGTCAATGAACGAAGAGTAGCGTTAAAATCGTCCGTAAAAATTAAATATTCTTATAATAAATCACTGGTTATGACAGAAAAATCACAAACACACTGACTATGTCAAAGAAGGAACTAGATTATTCGGGAAGTGCAAAACTTACGGAAATAAATGTAAATTTAAGGAATAATTAAGAAAGTTCAAACTTCCAAAGCCTAAAAATGTACTTCAATTTTCGATTTAACACAAACCGGTTACTGACATACAATTTGCTAAATCAAAATACGGTTTATTGACAAAAAATTACGCAAATATTACAAAGCCCCCAAACACCGATACCATTGGATAAGGACACCGTAACTAATTCAGCGCACCTTGTATTGAAATTTTAAACAAACTGTTTTTCTTTAAAAAGTAAAAATTTAAAAAAAATATACATTAATTGTTTACTAATATGGTAGACTATTTGTAATTAATGGATTCTTTTGAGACCAATGAGATTAAATTAGGTGGGAACATTTTCTGGGTTATAAGGTTAGACATTGACATTGATGTCGAATAAGTTGCTTTTGATTTTATTTGGTTAGCAGCACATAATGTAATAAATACCTACACATTATAATCTGGGTTCTCTGCAATTAATTAAGCTCAGAAACGTTAATGCTGCCCATGGCATTACATATATTAATTTCTGTTCCCTTATATTTACATCAGTATTCTCTAGCGAGTTATTTCCCAACTGATACAGATGGTGTTTTGTATTGTTGTTTAGCTGTATTTGCATTTCGAAAAATTGGTAAATTTGGGTAATTGTGAAATTTTAAGCCCTCTGAGAATCGTTCTAAAGTTTAAAAGCTAATGTCGTAACTGATTAACATCGCTATAAATTTACTTAAGAACCTAATTACACTTGTTTAATGCCTCTAAAGATAATATATTTTTGATCTATTCTTCTATAAATATATGATGAGGCCTTGATTAAATAACTTGAGAGTGTTAAATAGGAGTTTTGGGAGTTGAGCATTTCATGCCTGTCATTGTTAAATAAGTATTTCATATGGAAATACAAAGGATAGTTTGGCTATTTTGCGTTTATGGCCTTAATGAAGTGACTCATATGCCATTTTTTGTCCAAAAACAAAAATTTATTTCAATTTATCCACTGAATAGTTAACTCTTTTCAAAATATTCGCAAACATGAGTTATGCCTACCAGTGGAATTTGCAAATAACTGCAAAGTGTAATGTATTATATTTTTAAACCCATTAGGAGAAATTTAAGAATTTGGTAATGCGAAAATGAATACTTCACAGATCAATTTGCATGACAATGAACTTACATTTAACCTCTGCATATATATTTGCAACCTAGATACAACTCTTATGCATTGACTGTGATTGAAAGATCCTGTACGTGTTCTACTTTATTCGTGGTGTTGTCAGTAGAAAACTTCGATCATTATTTATTTTTTGCTTAGAGTTGCGTCTACCTGAGATTTGCCATCCACGGTATTTATTCGTGTAGAGTGGCACTCCATAATCCCACAAAGGATCATTGTATACGGAGGTGCTGGTTCAATGCAATTCCGAATCCTAGCAACGATTAATTTATGACCCAAATTACGTAGGTCTTGATTTTGCTCACAGGCGTAACTGAAAATTTCAATCTGATCTGCCCGCTCTTGGTCCACGCTTGAACAGCCCCAGCTTGAAATGCGACCCACGCAAAATCGATTGTTAACATTGATGCACGTGGCTGGATTCACTGAAACTGTGATAACTGCCTAAAACACGTTGAATCGGGCCTACCGCTGACGATACAATGAAGGTCGATGACTTGATGGACATTGAGATAGAGGAAATCCAGAAAGGTTTTAATCGCTTTGATTATAACAAAACCGGCACCATACGGACAGATGATGTTGGCAATGCTTTACGTTGGCTCAAACTTGTCCCCACAGAAGCCCAGATACGAGAACTGTCGGAAATAGTTGACCCCAATGGAATCGGCACCGTAAAATTCAAAGCCTTCCTAGTGATTGCGGCTGAAATTTGGATTCCTCAACAAAAACGGGAAGGTAAAATCTGGGCGGCATTTCTCTTTTTTGATAAGGAAGACAAGGGAAAGTTGACGGTTGAACAAATGCAGCAGATACTCTTAGAGATTGGTGAGGAGCCACTGACACAAAAAGAAGTGAAGACGATCATCAACAAGTTCGCCAACAAGAAGGACAAAACGATCGAATATGGCTACATTATTCGAGAATGGCAAGAATAACAAGAGCAGTGTCGCGAAGATAAGTACAAAATACCAACTTGATATGCTTCCTTGCTGGAATAATAAACACAATAAGTTAAATGATTGGCAAAATTCATCGTGAAAATTCAGGTAAGTACCAACTCTACTTCCTAGACTTACATGTCCTTAGTGTCTGTCGTGTTGAAATTGTGGAAGGGGTCACAACAGTTCCCCACTACCAAAAAACATGAATCTACCCAGAACTTGCAAATTCACATCTTAATCAAGCCGGGTTTAAGAGCATGACATCCCGTAGAAATATTGTCACGCGGTGTGCCTGAAACCAAAAGCCCTAAATCCAACATTTAAAAGACTGCTACGTAAAAAAATGTCACTTAATATATGGTCATGTTAAATAAGTAATGGGCAGTAGAAACTATTTGCACATCTTGAAAAAATAGTCGGAAGGGGGCCACCAACTGATTGGTATCATCCAAGGTAATCAATGCTGGGACCAAAGTAGGATGTCCATGAAGTCATGCAGAGGGGACCAAAATCTTTGGCAAAGGAAGGCAAACGACGCCAGCACGTCGTCAGCAGAAAGCGCTGCACGCTCCGACCCATCGTCGCCCAGCCGAGCCAAAAGTGCTCTGGCGATGGACGCAGTTGCAGCTGTGCTAGAGTCGTCGGTAGATTCACCCATCCTCCGGAGCCTCGCAAGCCCGTAAGGAGGGGGTGGAGGAGCCGCGTCGGCAGTTGTGGAGTCTGATGGAGACTTGTTCCATGCCTCGAGAACTGCGACCACGCACTCCGTCATGTGGCTGTACCTAAATAAATCAAACACGTCGTCATGACAGGGCGTATCGCAATCCCATTGTTATGTGCAACTGATAAAAACGCGATTTCGGTTTTTGGGGGCGATGCTGGTGGTGAAAACGATCGGGAACGCACTTGACGAGAAAACTCATTTCTGTGCTGGATGCGGAAGACGCGGGCGTCATGGCGCTCCACTTGGTCGCTATGCCTTGCAGACAACTGATCAACCTGGGGATTTGTGGTATCGCATGAGGCGCGCCGCCATATACGACAATTTGCTCGATAGCCAACCGATAGAGCAACAGTAGGCCCGTGAGCTGAGGCGACTCTGTGCAGCTCTTTGCGCAAACGTCCGAGGGCCTAGAGCAGGACAAAAACAGGAGTTCTTAATGGCGTACATTATTCACGTCTCCTAGATGTTTAAGGCACTTTCAGTGACCAGAACTCTAACTGGGTTGTCGACAATCGGCGCTATGGATTCACCGGATGAAAAAAACCATAGTTAGAATGGCTTGAGTTGTAGCCTGAAAACTTGCTCTTAGTTTAAAAGAACTTGAATTCACAGATCCAGTAAGCTCAGTATCCTGTGGCGTACACACAACCCTCCAGACGAAGTATCGCACACACACACGTACCGCAACTCGAGTAAGGCAAGCCAATGCATGATGTCGGCTAGGAGAATAGCAGGAGATTCTGAAGAGGTCAGTGGAGATCGTTTTCGTTGGTGCGGTGAAGCCAAACACTCGCTGCTGTCCACATCGACAGACCCCATGCACGCCCTGCGAGCGTAGGCGTGGACGAATAGGGGGAGGAGTTTTCTACACGTAAGACAGGCAGGCACCAGCCACGAGACGCTGTCGTGTAGCCGAGTTCGCTTCTGTGCACCAGCTGTGGTTTGGACAAGCAGTTCACCAATGCTTTCCATTCGTGCGTCAAAGTCTGTGGGCACTTCGACAGGGCTGCATTTCGATGGATCTGCAAGTAGTTTTAGTGTAGAGAAGTTAACAGTTAACGGTGTTCTTGTGTAAATAATGGCACTACCGTCTTCATTGAATTAAAACCATCATAAACTTCTAGCGAAGAATCGCAGTCCAAGATAAACCAAGCCCGACGTCTTGGACACTTATAACCTATAAAAACACACACCTAGCTTCAAGCGGGAGTCACAAGGGAACACTGGGACGGCTGAATCCACGGTAAACGCGCTAACTTACTTGTTTGCAGTAGACACCAGAGACACTTGTCGACCAAATTCATGACAGCCGCCAACGGAAGCGGCGTCTGGGCCGCGGAGGCTTCTGGAAGTTCGTAGAGCAGGGCCTGGAGCAAGGGTCTGTGGAGGGCGGTTGTGTGCGCCTGCGGGAAAGCCACCAGCGACGAAGGAGAAACGCCTGCGTCGCTTGTGGTGGGTTTCACAGACATCCAGTAATCGAGAACAACGTCAGCTACTCCAGATTGGGACTCGAGGCGAGTGGACTCGTTGACGGCTCGTAGTTTGAGAAGTTGCTCGCATTGGCTTACGACCTCCTCGTAGTCGTCGGAGTGAAGAGGATCTATGAAAATGATGGAGACTACTTAGGCTTATTTACCGGACAAAAGCTCTGCGTTTTAGATCAACTCAACTCAGTCCAAGCATAAGAGCACACAGGCCAGATTCGTTTGCAGACAAATTGGTGTGAAACAAGAAAAAAGACCTTATTGACGCGCAAAAACTTGCCCCAACACAGCGGTGCATAGCATTTCTCCATTACTCGCAACACACGACACACACGCCACGCGAAACCCCTTGAAGGCGCCTCACTGCTAGTCAACTTTTCGAAGGCCTGGACCACGCAGCCGTCATTGTGTGTTTCACCAAATACCCGCTGCCAGAGTGGTGAGGAGCTGACGGTGCTGACAACCGCGCCAATCGCAGAAGTTGCCGCTGGAAGGATACTCGTCGTGAGGATGGAGTAAGCGCGGGCCGCGGTTGTGCCGGTCGTCAAGGTGTGCGTGTCGGTCGGGGGCACTTTGGAGGGGATTTCACATGGACCTGGCGACGAGGCGACGAGGAAGTCCACACACAGACTGACAAACGCTCGCCTTTGAGCGAGAACGTCTGAAGTGGATATACAGTGCGGGCTGATTTGTGGGTAGAGGTCTGTGTTCGACCTCGGTTCGCTGTGGTGCGGAGACATGTGCGAGGCGATGGCGAGAAGGCTAAAAATGTGGTAGATTGATACGCAATTGCGGAGATGTGGTTAAGAGTAGAACACTGGGAGTTCCTTTATCAAGTGCAGTTGAGCCAAACTAGGGGAACGTTGACTTAGAGCACTTGGGCAAGTGGGACGTTTCTAAACATGCTCCTGAAAAGGGCGCAAATTTAAATAGCTTTTACTAAGCCAATGAGAAACGCTGCACCAGTCACGATGCTCGCGTAAATAATCCTGCAAAATTAATGTGGACAAACATTACATTTGGACGAAGACATTGTGCACAAAAGGCTAACATCTTGGAGAAGGTAAGTAAGGCGCACCCCTTTCGAATGTGTTCTCCTTAAAGGAGACAAGAATAAATGTAGACAGCAGTAGCTAGTTCTGAAGTCAAAATAGAAGGACCCGGTAGTGTCTTTAGACTTCAAACGGTGAAAGGACCAAACCACTATTTTTAAGTAAGGCTCTCCCAAAATATAAGTGTTTATCTCTGTGTTTTAACTACAATACATTCGGAAGTTGTGGTGCCTGTGGAGACATCCAGGGGGATTCACAAACACTCCTTCTTGACCGACTCACATCGAAAAGCATAACATTCAGGTCTAAACGCGTGGTAGTACATGGAATTGAACGGGTAAATGGGGATTCCTGAATCAACGTAATCACTGATTTTGTCGGCGTGGAAAATCGAGTGTTTGACGTTTTTCCTTGATATGCACATCTACCTTCGTGGAACAAAGGCCACAGACGACCCAAAAAGCAGATCAACATTGTTGGAAGCTAAAGCATGCATTGGGCAATGAAATGAATCAGTTCCGAAGTCTTTAGTGGTGGGTTCAGATGGCACGGCAGATGCAGCATCGCGCATAAGAGGGTAGACGCCAAATTCCTGGCCTTTGTTCAAGCCAAGCTACTCAAAGCAATCTACCATCATTCCCACACCCTAAGAACGCATTTCCATTCGCAACACGATTTGCAAACACTTCAAGTAACACGTACGGAACTAGAGCGGCTTATTGTATGAATACGTCAATTTCATAGGGCGTAGGAACGTCCAGAAATTCTTCATTTGTGCAGTGAAAACATCAACACAATTCCGACGGTTAGAGTACAATGATAATCATTTCAAGTAGGAGAACAAAGGGCTTACTTAGTTCTGGAAATTAACTTTTACTTGCATATCATCTACTCATTGTATGCTTATCTGTAGCACAACAATTTATGTGAAAACTAGTAGTACATCAATTAGACTACACCGACGTGCATCACACAAAGATTTACGCGTAATTGAAATGGACTAGGCGTCATGAACATGGTAAACGTAATACCGCCCTAAAAGACGCCTAGAAGCATAAAAATACTCGATTTCAGGGTGGAGTAACACCCAGAATCCCAAGCTCTAGGATAAACAGTGACGAGATCTCATCAGATAGGCACCGCCAAATCAGTTCCAACGAATTACCTAAAGAAGTCATCATACACGAGATCAGACGTCTCTACAATACTCGCTGGACGGAGACACGACCTGATCCTCTCCAAGTCGGCTGGTGGCAGCCGGACAAAGGCGTTGTGCTTCAGAAGACAACCTCGAACCCCTTCCATGAACTGCCGCAGATCCTCCGAGCACTAAATAGGCAAAGGGGAGCGTTCACAATTGGCTAACTTAGAGAAAAACAACGCGACGAAAACTGTGAGTTCAAACTTTGAGGGATTATTAGGTCAAAAGACCTCCCCTCGTTACCCATGGCTCCTAATCCTTCACACCTTTACGCTAATGCTAAACAACAAAGTTGCCATCGACACAGTTGCCTAAGAACCAAGGACATCTCATGTCTACTTCAACAAAATGCCGCAGAAAAGACGGGTTCGCCAAAGCACGGCCTGCAGGACTTACCAAAGAGATTTCCTGTTTTGGAGTAATCGCGTCGTAGGCGCAAATAACCGCAACCACCAGTGACACGAGGTGGTCGGTGTTCGCGGACACCTGGACATCCACCAGGGCGTCAGTCCAGCAAACACGCGACAAGACGC